TATATCCATGAATTTAAAACAGTTGCTTTGACAAATACTTTGGAATAGCAGCAAATGTTATTGATGAAAACAGAAATCAAATGTTTTACTGGAGATTGCTATCGACTAAAACGGTCTTTGAGTTTTCAAAGGAAACAGGTTTAGTTCATATGTGTGTGTGAAGCTGGAGAAACAGGAGTGCAGATTATGCAGACAGCGGCATAAATGTTGCTAGACTAGTTAAACAGAAAGGTTTTTGGGTTTTATACCCAGTAAAAAAACAAAGCAGCTACAATTCCTTCTCATAACTACTTTAAAGGGCCTTAATGCTTAAATTTGACCAACTTTGAAACACAACTTAGGGACTTTTCAGTCATTTCTTTTTAAAACTGGAGATGCTACTGTCTGCATAAATTGTTTTTGCCTCACTCTTAGCTGTATGTTAGCTATGGATAACCTGTAGATTAGATGAAAAACAATGCTTAATTTTTGAAAGTTTTATGTTTCTTAGTTTTTCAGCTTTTTTGATGCACTATTCAAACTACTTTTTGCAGGAGGGAGGAATTGTTAAGGCTGAAAATGAAAAGAGGAGTAAATAAAGAGAAATAATGTAAAAAGTAAGCAGAAATATTCAGCTTAGGTACAGTAGAACTTTTTCCAAAGTATGAGAACAGAACAGAGAAAAATATACCATTCCAATAAACTTTTGACATTTTATGTTTATTTTCTGCAAATCACATTTTTACATTTTATTGTTGCTAGTATGTTTGTTGTATTATGCTAGTATGTTTGTATTATTCATTCTTTCTTTAACATAATGCAGTCATGCTGTTTCTTTAACAGAAACCATACCAAATGCTTATGAAGGATATTCTCACATTTTGTTTTGACCATCCCACAGAATTCTTAGTGTCTTTGTTTGACACTTTTTTTTTTAACCACAAATGAGAATGTTTTGACACTATTTGTGTCTTCAGGTTCATTTATAAAATCCCTTTTTTGCAGTATCCTCTGTTTACTCTGTTTAGTAGCATTATCACCCTGCTGCTCCATTTATTTTTTCTAAGATTGTCTGACATCTTTCCCATCTCTTGTTCAGGTGAAGAGTTTTCTAGTTTGGCAGCTATCATTTCATTTCAATCCGTTCTTCAGAACATGATTATGAAGAATTTGCTTTTAAAAGAATTCTGGTACAACCTGGTACTACCACACATATGGTAGTAATTTAATTGTGAGTGTTCATTAGCACATAGTTTATTTCTTATTTCTGGACTAGAATGGCATGTACTTTAAACACATGTAGAGATTTTCTGTACTTTGAAGAGTATTTCATATTCGTCCTAGACCAAAATGACATAAGACCCAGGTGTCTTAGTTCTGTGTAGATGCAGAAGTCTGGAAAGAGAACGCTTTTTATCACATAGAATAACAAATTGGAGATTCTTACCGGGGGATTGGCCACAGTATTAAGAAAAATGGAGATTGAGGAGTGTAGCCTGGAGGATGGGGATGGAAGTTAAGACGGGTTCTTGGAGCAACTTGCCATGAGAGTTGTTGGAAACAGCCCCAGACTGGGAAATCGCCCGATGTGCTTGTCAGTGCCGGTCCGTGCCACATGTGGGAGGCACCATATTTCACTATAACTTTCTAGATTGTTTGCTTTTGAGCATATTAAGTTGTTAGCTGTATCCATGTGCCTTAGAAACACAATCTGAAAACTGATTTGCTTCATCAGCTTTGCTGTGAAAGATGCAGAATCGTTCAGATGTGATGCACGACCTTTACAGAGTGAAAGCAATAATTCAGGATGCTTAATCACGATGGAAGCGTAGTATTCACCGACTATTAAATTTTTGATTGAGGAATGAAAGGTAAAACTGTTTGAAGAAAAGAAAGATTGCATTTCATGTATATGTTATGAAAACAGCATTGATATATGGATTATGAGCTACTGCAAGGATTTATATCTTTGTATTCGTATTGCACTCTAGCAAAAATTTACTATAGATGTCTTCTGTATGTATTAAAAATAAGTAACTTCATGGCAATATGATTTAATTTTTGTGTGTGGGGGTGGAATTTCCTTTAAGGTAGCAGAAAGATGATCAATACTGATTACCTATGTCAGCAGTATTGTTTAAGAAAAACACAGAGTAAATCTTTAAAAATATGCGTATTGGTACTTGTAGGTAAACTGCTCCACTCTTGTATAAATTTCCTCTGGTTCTCTTCATCTCTTTTTGAGACAGAGAGAACCAGATTTGTATCCAGTTAGAGAGATGTAAGTGCGTTTAGGAATTTTTGTAGTGGCACACTGACATTTTTTATATGGATTTGTTATTTAAAGCCACATAGGGGTCAGTAATAGCAGATTGTAGAGACCCTCATTTTGTAAAACGAGGGAAGATTACAATCATGTTACATTATATTTGCTAACCTTGAACTTTTTGCACATTTTATTGTCTAGCAACTTGCCAAAATCTTTTCAGCTCTTAAGAACTGGCCCTTTTAAACTGTATTTAATGACTTTTTTCTCTTCAGAAAAACGTATCTCTTCATTTGTGTTCAAACTTGAGACATATGTTGGACTTTTTAGGGGCTCATTATCCCAGTGCTTTATTGATAATCTCTCTTTGTTGTGAAGACTGACTAATTATTCCCATCTTACTGCCTAGACAGAGTATTACAGAGTATTACTGTCTCTTACTCAGGAAATGCTGCTCTGGAAAAGTTGTCAGACAGTGGTGTGTGTTTGTTTTCTTTTGCTGGAATATACCTTATTTTTTATGTTTTAAAGCAGACAGGGTTGCCTTGTGTGTTACGTCCTCAACAGTGGACGTAACAGTGCTCATTTATATGTGTGTTTTAACTTTGTTGCTGATTGGATTTTCCTTCTTTAGACTGCGTTTCAGGACCGCTGTTAATTCTTTCAATTTAAGTTGATTTGGGAGACTGCTTCTATTTGGGAAAAAAAAAAAACCCTTAAATTTCTACCATAATTGCTAATTTATCAGGGAAGCTGATTTTAACAATAGTCAAGATTATTTTTAGTGGTTTGAGTATGACTGAACAGCCATTATATAAACAATAAGTTATGTTTTCTTCTTCTGAAATAATATTAAATAACTGTCCCACTGACAGGATATAGATATGCTGCTGCCAACTGGACAAGTAAAAGGGGATAGTCTATATTTCTAGCCCAGTAGAAAACCTTCTGCTGTAAATCCCTTTTTAGTAGCATTCAGTGTATTTGTTGGTAGACATTCTGCGAGATATTTTATCTGTACAGTTATTTTAATAGTACTAACAGTATTCCTTAAGTCTGTTAATGAGCTTGGTTTCATTGCTTTAACTGTTACATAATATTAATTTACATTAGCAAGCAGATATATCGTAAAGTGTTTTAATTTGTTGTGAATTATTTTAGTCTCTTTTAACCATACCGTGCTAGTATATTAATTTATATTAGGAAGAACTTTACAACAAATAGTGTTTGAGGAAAGTCTATATCTTTCCAGCTGTATTCACTGAGATCTATTTTTTTCCATTGTTTTTATGTCTATATTTTATCAAAAATGGAGGGTAGGATTCATCTCGCCTAATGCAGACAACTAAAAATTGTGTATCGAAATATGATGTAGTCATGCTAGGTTTCCTGCATTGTCAATGGAAGAAATAGATGCTTCCAGGAAATGCTTCATTTTGTCTTAGGATGAGCATCTAAGAGAAGTTAATCAAGTGTCTTCCCCAGGTGCCTTTCTTTCCCCCTCTGTGTGTCTTCAAAATAATCTTAGAGCAACTGGTCCAGAAGGAGAGAGATCTAAAGTTAACTGAGGTAGCTGAAACCCACCTCGCTGGTTAAATGGGGACAGTTGCTGCTCTTTCAGAAATTGAAATTCCTCCACCCCTGCTTCTTGAAGAGTATGGTGTTTTCCTGTCAGAAACTATTACCTGATTCTAGAGAAAATATATGTAGAAATACTCTAGGTTTATTCTATAACAGTTTGATTACATTTAGTACACATAATAGGTACCAAATATGTAATATGCAGATGCAATTTATAAAATCAAATACTAATCATAATTAGCATAATAGTTTTATTGGAAAAGAATTTAAATATCCCAGGGGAACTAAGGAGGTAATCAGTTTACTTAGTATATTAGAAACTTCCATTTTAGAAGGTTGTAGATTGGTTCTTAGTGATTAATTGATAGGGGAAAAAGTGATTTGTATGTGGATGAAAAGGAGGGTTGAAGTCAAAGCTAATCCTTTCTTAATTGTGTTAATTCCAGATTAAATTTAGGATGTGAAGAAAAAGACATAGAGTGTTTGGCTTGGTGTAACTGTCAGAAAAGGGTTTGCTTATTATTTCATGCTGCTCCTTATTTTGCATTTAATTTGAAAGCAGTGCAGACTGCTTTTGAATAGGTTGCAGAATAGACTTTTATTAATAATAACCACTGAAGTTATATACTTTCAAGAAAGATTAATTCACTGGATATATTTAATTTAAAACATCTTATTATATTTTTAATTATATACCTTCTTGAAACTGACAGAAAGGAATGTCTTAAAAATAATTTTGAATTAAGTTATTGTGTTCTTTAGCCTTTCAAAGTTATGTCATGTATTTGCAATTAAGTAATACTGGTGTATTCAGAATTGTCAAGGTTACTCGGTTTGAGTATCCAAAAATTAGTCTTTGTTTCCTTCCAAACTGAAAGAAGTTTCTGCTGTTAAAATGGGATTATTTTTAGATTAAGTTTTATGCAATTCAGTAAGTTCTTCTTTTATGCAAGTGACTGACTGGAATTAGTGAATATGAATTCAGTGGTGTCAAGCAAAATTTGGTATTGGCTACGTCTTTTACAAATTTTTTACTATTTTTTTTTTCCTAAACTATGTGTAATAGTTCAGTTGTTTAATTGAACGTCAGGACATGGGATGGCATTTTGCAGGCAGACTGGTTTGATCAGCGCTGCTGTTGAAACGCTCTATACTTGGTCGCCCCTCCTTGCAGCTGCCACCGGCTGACGTGGCCCCAGGGTGAACCGACCTGTGCTGTCCTTAAACACGGCTTCCATAGGGCCTTGGGTCCAGGTCAGATCACCGATTCCTTTCCTGCAGGTCACCACGTGCAGGATGGGGTAGTGCAATGGAAAGGGCATTAAAGTCTAGGAAACAAGCAGCTGAAGGCAAGTGTTGGCTTACATGAAGCAAAAATACAGCTAAATTATTTTCAGTGTCTTTAATCTTCTGATTAGGCAAATAAAGCTTCAGGGTACTGTAGGAAGGTTTCAAGTGGTTTTGAACTTTCCAGATTTTACAACTTTCTATGGGACAGGCTATCGTTTTACTTGCTTTATGCTAAGAATTATTTAAAAAAATGTAAAAATGTTGTTTTTTAAATGTAGTTTTGGGCACTAAGACAAAATTGAAGGTACTGTCTTTTCATAGTAGTAGTTTTTTTAACACGGTATGTTTTGCATATCATGATTGTCACTCTGCCATCTTTCCAAATCGTAGGCATATCAGGCAAAAAATATTAATACCTTCAAAAAGAAGGTATAAAAGGCAACAACTATGTATTGCACATTATAATTCTGTTTTTGCTCTCTCTTGTAGCTGGTTGGTGGAGAATTTGATCTCGAGATGAACTTTATAATCCAGGATGCAGAGAGCATTACGTGCATGTCGGAGCTGTTGGAGCACTGTGATGTGACCTGCCAGGCAGAGATCTGGAGCATGTTCACCGCCATTCTGCGGAAAAGCGTCCGGAATCTACAGACTAGCACAGAAGTTGGCTTAATTGAGCAGGTTCTGTTGAAGATGAGTACTGTGGACGACATGATTGCAGGTATAAACTGCCAGCTGATAATTCCAGTAATTGCAACATTCTTGAGCTACCTTTTTGTGTGTGTGATTATGGTAGTGTTTGGGGTGTTCTGTTTTTTAAAGTAATATTTTGGTTAGTCTTAGCAAAGTAGTGCTACTGTTGAGTTACTTAGCAATTTCAGAAAAAAAGGAGAAAATATATTCTTAGATTAAAATATATCTTGATGTTATTTAAAATAATTAAGTGAAAATATGGCACTACCTTAGTGATAAAATAAAGCAATTTTGAACATATCTGAGAAGAGCAGTTTTTTACATGTCAAACATCTCAGTTTTAAAGTGTATTAATTATTCTAATTTATTCAGACATTAGAATTGTTATTATGAGCCACTTTAAATATAACCCACATCCGAGAGCATATCAATTATTCATATTTTGAATGCTGGGCATTAGGAAAATATTAAATGATTTATTTGTGTACTTCATTTTATGATGTATAATTGTGCTTTCTATGTCTCTCCAGTTTTTTATGCTTGTATTTTATAATGGCCACTTTTTTTACAGTAAAGCACAGCGTACTTGTAGTTTGCTCACTGATGAGAAATGACGAAGTTGTTGCAGAGCTGAGGTTTTCAGATTACTTTTGAAGAAGTCTGTACCACTGTTGTTCAGTAAGAGTGCACATTATAATGCTGAATAATTTGGTTAGAAAAATAAGTACAGTAGTTGATTTTAAGTGTGCTAGTTAAAATCTACTTACGATTATTTTACCTTATACCTTATTTTTTTCTTGAGAGGAAATTTAAACCAAACAGTTTCTTTCAGCTCAGTGTGGAGTTGTTCTTCAGTTTTGTATAATTTAGGACTGATAGGATACTTGAATTATGAGGCATTTTATAAAAGTGAAGGAGTTCATCTCCAGTAATTCTGGCTTTAAGATTTCAGTCAAGTGAACACACACATGATCTGTGGAAGAATAGGACAATAAGAATTAGAGAACAAAAATGAGAAAACAACAGCACTGTGAAACCTAGATGTTTCAAGATGTTTATTTTGGGGGGCTTTTTCTGAGTGAAAAGGAGTATGTAACATGAAAGGCTTTGAAAAAGCTAGATTCCCTGTTTCAAACTGAGTCTTAACATATACTTAATTGATGAGAACTGTATATGTAGGTGTAAAACTGGCAGAAGTGTTATGTGAGATATTGAACTGTGAACCACAATTGATTCATACTCCAAAGTGCCACAAACTGATAGACTGACAAACCAATGACTTGTACCAAATATGTTTTGTTTCCAGAACTTTTCAGGGTGTCAGAATAGTTTAAAGGGAAATATATTGTTTTATTCCATATTGCATTTATTATGTAGGACATTAGTTGATGGAAATCAACGTTTCTACTTTAAGGTTATTGGGGATTTTACTCATGGAAATAATGTGCTTGTGTCACTAATCATATTATCAAATTTTTCAATTTGTGCTCCCTCAAGTAAGTGTCCAGTTAATTACAGAAGGCAGAAATCAAAAGAATATAGGATTTGGCTTCCAAGAGCATTTGGGAATTGAAAAGCACTCTGATATTACAAATATTAGTATAATCAGGCATAGTGCATTAATAAAGGAAATTAATGGGATTAGAAATCTTTAACATCAAAACCAAAAATTGGAATTCTAATGGGATTTTAGCTCTGACCTAGTCAAACTACCTGTGTAATTCTCTCTATACTGTGAGTATTTAGCAGAATGCCGCTCTGCAGGATCTTTCTCTGAGAACTGTAAGTAAATGAGAATTTTTTTCCCCTTCCCTGAAAATTTTCTTAGAAAGGCAAGATGATAGCCAAATAAGTAATTTTGATTTTAATTCTGATTTTTATACACTCTGATAAATGGCAATAGTGTTAATAAACCCAAATGAGGTAGTATGGTCATATAGTAACTAGTCAAATGACAGGCAATCGACAAATAGTTTCTGTGGTCTCGAATCTGATACGATGCGGTGATGTGGAGACCATAAGTGATCTCAGATGACTATAGAGTTTTTTTGCCTAAAATATTTTTACCTGCTATTCAAACCTCAACAGTAAAGTAAAAAAGAAGAAAGTGTCAAACTGGATTTTGTTCAGTGAGAACGTTTTAAACGAGCCTTATTGGGGCTAACTCCTAGGAAGTTAGTAGCAGCTCCTTTGAAAACAGCTGCTTTCTGCTGTAATCTGTCAGCAATCTGTTTTACAGTTTTTTTTGTGATCTGTAAAATGTAGACACTTTAGTTTGTTTATTTGGAGAAGGTTGGTGGTTTTTTAGGTCATCTTTCTCACTTTCTCCTGAAATGCTGTCAATAGAGCCAGATGAGGTTCAAACAGTAGAAATAGGTGTATTATCAGTCCTGTTCTGACAACGCTGTTTCAGAACCAGGCCAAGTCTGAAAAATTAGAGCTCTTTGAGCAGTCAGAGGGCTGTGATCTTGTTGCAGATACAGAGACATGGTGGGAGACCTTATGTGACTGGAATACTGGCATGAATGGCTGCAGGTTCTTCAGGAAGGCCAGGGTTGGAAGGCAAGGAAGGGGCAGTGACCCTTGGTGTGAAAGAGCAACCAGAATGCACTGAGCTTTGCCTAGGGGAGCGTGACAGGCTGGCCGAGGCCTTGTGGGTACAGACTAAGGATGAGAGTAACATGGTGAAACGTGCAGAAGGTGGGACCTTCTGCAGACGGCTGGAGGTAGCCTTATGGTCATAGACTGTGGTTCTCATGGCAGGTTTTTAATAACCCAAATATCTGCTGGAGGGACAGCACAGCAGGGCATAAACAATCCAGATGTTTCTTGGAGAGCACTGATGACAACTTTTTGATATAATTGATAGAGGAACCAGTGAAGAGAGGTGCATTGTTGGGTGTTGTACTTGCATACAAGGAAGGGTTAGTTGGAGATGTGAAGACTGGAGGCAAACTTGACTATAGTGACCGGGAGATTGTGGGGTCCAGGATCACAGCCCATCAGGAGATCAACGTTTGGCCTCTTTGGGGACTTGCTTGGACTTGCATTGTGATAGGGCCCTAGAAGAAAAAGGGGTCCAAGAGAGCTGATTAGTACTCAAAGATTACTTCCTCCAAGCTCAAGAAAACAGTGTAGCAGGAACAAAAGTAATCTTGGTTACAGAGGATACAGAGAAGGCAGAGATACTGAATACCTTCTTTGCCTCACTTTTTACTGCTAAGGCCAGTCCTCAGGAACTGCAGGACCTTGGAGAGCAGAGAGAAAGTCTGGAGAAATGAAGATTCCTTCCTTGGTGGAGGAGGATTAATTTAAGGATCACTTAAGCAAACTTTAGATACACAAGTCCATAGGCCCTGATGGGATGCACCCACGAGTGCTGAGGGAGCTGGCAGGCGTCATTGCCAGGTCACTGTCCATCATCTTTGAAAGGTCCTGGAGTTGAGGACAGGAAGAAGGGATGTGTCACTGCAGTCCTACAAAAGGGCAAGGAGGAGGACCCAGGGGAGCACAGTTCAGTGAGTCTCCCCTCCCTGCCTGGCAAGTGAAGCAGCAGCTCCTCCTGGTTGCTATCTCTAAGCAAGTGAAAGGTAAGAAGGTGGTTGAGAGAGGTCAGCATCAGTTCAGAAGGGAAGTCATACTTACCCACCCTGCTAGTCATCTCTGATGGAATGACTGGCTGAGTAGGTGAGGGATAGCACTGAAAGTTGTGCACCTTGACTTCAGGAAGGCTTTTGACACTGTCTCCCCTAACATCCCAGTAGGCAAGCTCATAAAGTGCAGGCCAGATGAGTGGGCAGAGAGGTGGACTGAGAACTGTCTGAAAGGCAGAGCTCAGAGGGTTGTGCTCAGTGATGCAGAGTTTAGCTGGAGGCCTGTAGCCAGTGTTGTCCTCCAGGGGCCAATAGTGGGTCCAGTATTGTTCAGCTCACTTGTCAGTGGCCTGGATGAAGGGTCAGAACATACCCTCAGCACGTTTGCTGAGGATACAAAACTGGGAGGAGTGACTGATGAGAGAGGATGATGTTCAACCAAGGGGAATGCAGAGTCCTGCACTGGGGGAGGTCCAGGCTCTTGCTTCAGTACAGACTGGGCCTGACCTGCTGGAAGGCACCTCTGCAGAGAAGGACCTGGGAGTCCTGCGGGGGACAGTGATAGAACCACGAGCCAGGGACATGCCCTTGGGGTGAAGGAGGTCAGTGGTGTCCTGGCCTGCATCAGGAGGAGCGTTGCCAGCAGACTGAGGGAGGGGATCCTGCGCCTCTGCTCCGCCCTGGCGAGGCCGCGCCTGGAGGACTGTGTGCAGTTCTGGGCTCCCCAGCATAAGTAATGGAGCAAGTCTAGTAGAGGGCTGCTGAGAAGACGAAAGGGCTGGAGCATCTCTTCTATGAGAGAGCTGGGCCTGTTCAATCTGGAGAAGACTTAGGGGGAGATCTTATCAATTTGTTGTAGTATATGAAGGGGCGATGTAAAGAGGACAGGGTCAGCCTCTATTGAGGATAAGAAGCAATAGACCCAATGTGAAACACAGGAAATGCCATGTGATTTTGAGGAAAAGCTTTTTTCCTGAGAGGGTAACAGAGCACTGGAACAGGTTAGTTCAGGTTCTCTGGAACTTCCAGAGAAGTTGTAGAGTCTCCGTCCTTGGAGATGTCCAGAAGTTATCTGGACAGAGCCCTAGGCAATGTGCTCTGAGTGACACTGCTTGAGCAGGTGGGTTGGACTAGATGGTCTCCACAGATCCCATTCAACCTCAACCCTTCTGTGATTAGCCTTTTTATCAGTGCTTAAAGACAACTACTAACATATTTTTTGAAATGCTAAAATGATCAGGTTATTAGCAGACTTTTTTATTCTTTTAACAGCTGCACAGGATTTTCTCTAATGCATTTATTTATTAAAGTTCTCTTATTTCCTGATAAGGAGTAGTGAAGCAGCTCTTCTGCTCCACGAGATTCTTTGGGATAGTAGTAAATTCAAAAAAGTCTGAATGGTGGGTGAGGAAGTAACTTTAAATCATGCAAAGTGGATGCCTCTCTCTTGAGTCCCATTTAGTTTTCAGCAGTTCTGTTGTGGTGCTGTAGGTAACTGTTCCAAAATTGCTGGAACTGAGTTCTTAAGCACTGAAATGGTAACGTTTGGGGCCGTTCTCTCTATAACTGGCTGTTAACAGCTGTTTATCTTTGAACTGATTCTGTAAGAAAATACTGCAAAATTATCACATTTTCCTTTGCCAGACCATGGAAGCTGATCAGCTTCACCAGCAGATTTATAATTCATGGTTTTATGACTATCTGTTATTAAAAGACTAAGGAAGCATGAGGTAGTTTCTCTGTAGTTGTGTGGCCAGTGCTCTTTAGCGTGAATTAATTTCAAAGACAAATGACATATCATACATTTCGACATATGCTCAGAGTTACTTGAGAGACAGGCAGCTCCTTTTACTGTTCTACTTTCTTATTAAGTGATTGAATTAAGCATTGCTTCAAGGTTTCCAGTGAGTTTATAGAACATATATTAACTGCTTACTGTGAAAGTATTCAAAAGGTGCTATTTAGGTGAGTAAAATTTGTTACATTTTGTGCATTTTTAATGAATTAAAAATTAAAAATAGTGGCTATTTTCTCCTTTTGGCTTTAATAATTTTTATGTAATCTTGTTTGCAAAAGGAGATTGTTGGCCACTTAAATATTAAATCTTATTTAATAATACAGAAAATAAAAGCTTTTTTAAAAAAATCTGAGAATTGTGATGTTTGCCCATTCATATTGATGAGTAGATTAGTATGATACAAAAAACAGATTTCTCTCTTTTACAGGAGATTTTTAGTACATAGGAATTAAGATATCTAATAGAGTTCTCTTTAAGTTCTCCTTCAATCTTTCAGGTCTATTTTTTTAACCAGAGATATGTTTTTAGGAAGTTGGCATTTATTTCTCTCCATTCATGTTTTATTCATTGTCGATAGATTTCTAATAGTGCAGTTATCAACATCTTAAGTGGAAATATAAATATTCCATGAAAACAATCCTTAATTGTTAAATACCATAATGCAGTAGAAGGATGTAAGAAAGGAAAACATAACACATGTTCGGTAATTTTAAAAATCTGTCAGTCATTTCTCTGACTGCAGTAACCTTGCTTTCATCATTTATTATAGTTTTTTTTTTAAATGATGTTCTATTTTCCACAAAAAAAATGCCGCTTCTACACTTTTATTTTTTTATTTATTTAAAAGATGCAAAATTTGAAGTAGCTGGATTGAAAAGCAAGTTAGGACTACAGAATAAGAAATGGGAAACTTTTAGGTAAAGATTAGAAATCACTCATGCTGGCTTCCATTTCTGAGTTGTTAGTGTTGTTGTTCTCAAGTTATGATCATATGTGATTTGATCACATATGGTATGATCTGCAGTTGCTGTCATCTTCACATATCATGATAGGGAGTATGCAGTGAGGGAGGCAGATGCTTGCAGGGACTACACTGGGAACCAGATCATAGAATTCATTTACAGGCAAGATGTTTTTAGCTTTCTTTGCTTTATTTTGCTTTCTCTTAAGAAAAGGATTTGAAAAGGAACATGAGATAAATTCTTATATAGAATGTTTGGGGAAAAGAAATAAGCTATTACTTTCATATCAGAACATTTGAAATACGTACAGATCCTATGATGGAAATATCTGAAGGCTGACATGTTTTTTTGTTTTTCATGACATGCATTTTCACCTACTGAACAAGTTACTATGTCTCCTGTTAAAGATAATTTATTCATTGTGCATGTCTTTTCCTTATCAGAAATTGGTTTTGTAATGGAATAAGTTAATAGATTTTGATGAATTTATTCAAAACACATAGCTGGGGATTTGGAAGGAAAACATGCTTAAAGGCAGAACATCAGTGCAAAGGGCTCTGAAAGGATGGATTTTCATGAACATCGTTTTTGTGAGCACCCTCAGGGATGAACAAAAGCAGCCTGTGGTGCTGCGCTCACATCTCCTAAAGCTCTGCGTGGGGCTCTGAAGTCATTCTTTGTGCGTACGCACTGGTTGTGACCAAGTCTTTATGAGCAAAGTTGCTGAATACTTACAAACCCAGCACTGTTAGAACTTTAGAAGATACTCTTTTATATGAAAAGAGCACATTTATGCTTAAATAGTTAATAATGCTGAGCCAAGCTGAACTACAACTTAGGCTAAGAGAATAACACTTGTAAGAGGTTTTTGTTGCGAAATTTCAAGATTTCAATCTTCTCTTTGTGCTGTGTTCATTTTCAGGGTGCACAAAGGTGCATTTAAAAAATAATCCAAAAAGCTTCTAGTTTCATGTGGCTGTTCTCATTTTTAGTTGTTCTTAAGCAGTTTTACCCGAGTATTGCAGGGAATAAAGAGAAATCACCTTGTATTATATACCATACAGGAAATATCTTATATTGAAAATATTATATCGAAACTCTGATCGTATTTCTAAAAAGTTAATGGGATAATATAGTTAACACGTAAGAGCAATCCTATTTAAATGCTGATTTCTTGTAGTTCAAAGTATTCTGGTAAATTTAAGAGAAATATGATAGGATTTTTTTTTTAATATGTTCTATTATTAGAGAAAAGGGAAAATTCAGATTGCAAGGAAAAAGTTCTCGGTTTGGGACCTGGGGCCGGGGAGATTTCTGATCACTGAGAGTTGAGGAGATTCAGAAGTTCCGTTAATGCTGATTCTGTTGTGTCATAGCTATCTGTTTTGTAAACTTTGTACTTTAGATTTTTGAATTTAATCTCTCATGCTGCATCTGTGAAGATTGGCAACTTGTTTTTCCTCCTCTTAAACGTAGTAGCAATTCTTAGTAATATTGTTTATTGCAGAAGAAAGTGCAGAGTGTATGGAGAATGTCAGCATATCACAGATTCTTGCTCTTAAAATCAAGATCCAAGGACTGTCAGTAATTTTAGACTTTTTTTTTCCCTCTCTAAAAGGCAAGCAGTGTAATGCTAATACTTTTAATGTTTCTGGGTTTAGGGATATTTAATGGAATCTGTATTGCCTAAATTCTTCAGCAATTTTGATCATTTCTGCTTATTGTAGTCTTTTATTGTTTTCTCACTTTGCTTTTTTATTTTTTTTCTGGGCTTTTATTCTGGTAACAATTGGAAACATTATCACTGTAGCAAAGCTGTAGGAACTCTATAAATCCTCAGAATAATGCATTGTATCTAAGTTAAAGAATAATATCAAGCATCTTTGGCTCAGAAACTTCTGAAAAATACTGACTAAAGAGGAATGAAAAATCTCTTGTCCCAAAAATAGGTAATAGAAAGGGGTGAGCAATAAGCTCATAATGTATGATAATAGTGTTATGGAATGTGGAGAATTATTTCTTGGTATATTCATGAGCTATTTTGTTCAAAATGTAAGACAAAAAGCTAAAAATGCATATATAAGATTGTTTTTAAAGTATTTTAAAGAGTGAAAATATGAAATCTTGTATGAAATATTTAAGGAAATAGTTTGATTTTAGAATTTGTGACTGTGCTTACTTTTAAAGGCATAAACTTTTTCAGCTTATTTGTCAAAACAATAACATTCAGAGTTCAGAATAACTTTATTTTCCTTTGAAGATCTTCTAGTTGATATGTTGGGGGTTCTTGCCAGCTACAGCATCACTGTCAAAGAGTTGAAGCTTTTGTTCAGCATGCTTCGAGGCGAAAACGGAATCTGGGTAAGCTCTGATCAGATAAAGCATTAAATGTCACTGTGTTAGAGCCTGAAGTTAACATAAATTGTCTCTTGGAACTCATAAAGTTGAATTTTCTTCATGTTGATTGAATGTATGTTTATAAATTATCTTTGTTAACTACTTGAGAACTCATTTGCTGTGTTGTTTGAAAACAGTCTAGTATCCAGTATAGCCTAGAGAGCATAAAAATGGTTGTATTGACTTTTCTGCAATTTTCTTATTTTCACAGCCAAGACATGCAGTTAAACTATTATCAGTCCTTAATCAGATGCCACAGAGACATGGGCCTGATACCTTTTTCAACTTCCCAGGCTGTAGTGCTGCAGTAAGTTTTCAACTAAGATACTTCTACCTGAGGAATAAATACGTTGCTGCTTCTTCGAATTTCCTTGAAAAGGAAATGAGGGGAAGAACTTACTTTTGTAGCATAAACCTTGCCTTTTGTAGCTGAGGTAACTCAGCAGACTAGCTTGTAGTACTGAGAAGCAGTTGTGAGGATAGATTATCAAATAGATTTTTAAATGGGGAAATTATCATAAAATGAAAACTGAAAATTAGATGGGAATAACATTATTTCATTTGAATAGTGTAATTGTTATTATGTTACATAAAGTAAAGGGTTGAGGAAAATAGAAATGTGCTTGTGCTTGTCATCACAGTTTACAATGACAGCTTAGTCATAAATTGTATATTTTTCTTACTGTCTGAACGTCATCAGCATCATTCTGTCAAGCCTTGAGCTGGTTAGTCTCAAGGCAGTAATTTAAACTTAAAATAATTTGGCTTTACTATTTGACATAACTCAAGATCAAATTGTATTCCTATTAGACCTTCTTAAATAAGTAATGTCCCTGCCATTCAGTGTGTGTATATTCATGCAAAACTACAAAAATAATCCAGGTACCAAGCACAGATAAATAAAGATAATTATTAATGCAGCAAATTGAAATGTTCTGAACTTAGAAATCCTGACTTGAGGTTCAGTAAATGTGTGGAATGGTGTGAACTCATGTTCCCCCACAGCAGAACTTGGAATCTTTTGGGGAACAGTGATGCTGGGATCATCGAGCCTTCATGTTACAGAATGTAAGGGGCTATAAGCTCCACTTGGACTGTTTATCTGCATGCATTTCCTTAGTAGCATTGAGAGGTTTCTTCAAAGATGAACCATCTTCTCTTATCTTTTTCTTTTTTTCAGTACAGCTCTTTGTGTGGCAGATTACATTAAGAAAGGAATCAGTCTGAAAATAACTTTCGCACCTGATTTATTTTTAGCTAGATCACTTATCTTGTTTGTTATTCTGCTGCTCAAACAGATGTGTCAGCAAAATGCAAAGGGTGGATTGTGTAAGGATTAATTGCTGAGTTTTAAAAGTAGTTTCATTTGCTACTCCTAAGTTAAAAACACAGGTAACTTCTCCCCAAAGTATATGGAGCAGCAAGACAGCTATTGCAGTTTCTGAATGTCTGCAATGACACATAACTGCTTTGACATTTCTGGGCTTCAGAGACAAACACTAATGAAACATCTCTTTTAAGTTTAACTCTCTATTAAAGCATCAAAAAAAAAAGTCTTACAGGGTAAGAGTTTTCAATATATCTCTTGTGCAAAGTGGTAAGGCATTTTGCATCAGTTATTGGAAATCATATTTAAAATGTATTTTTCAGTGCTGACGGTAATGCACTAGTATAAAGTTTCTTGATTGAAGTGCACAAACAAAACATGTCTCTATCCTTGATTGTGATCTTGTTGCAAATAAGTGCTTCACGTACCATCCATCATTGGCCAAGCTTCCCTAAATCTCTGACTCACAGAATGGCTGAGGCTGGAAGGGACCTCTAGAGATCATCTAGTCCAACCCCCCCTGCTCCAGCAGGGACACCCAGAGCACGTGGCACAGGGTGGCATCCAGGCGGGTTTGGAAGGTCTCCAGAGAAGGGGACTCAACCTCCCTGGGCAGCCTGTTCCAGGGCTCTGTCACCCTCTCAGGAAAGAAGTTCTTCCTCACATGGAGGTGGTTCCTCTTGTGGAACCTCACATGGTTCCTCTTGTGTTTCGATTCATACCCATTACCCCTTGTCCTGTCACTGGCCACCCCTGAGAAGAGTTTGGCCCCATCTTCTTTATATTCTCCCCTTGGCTATTTGTATATGTTGATCAGATCCCCTCTCAATCTTCTCTTCTCCAGGCTAAACAGGCCCAGCTCACTTAGTCTTTTCTCATACGATAGATGCTCCAGGCCGTTAATCATCTTCATGGCCCTATGCCGGACCCTCTCTAGAAGCTCAATGCCCCTCTTGTACTGGGGAGGCCAGAACTGCACCCAATACTCCAGGTGCGGCCTCACCAGAGCTGAGGAGAGGGGCAGGATCCCCTCCCTCGACCTGCTGGCAACGCTCCTCCTGATGCAGGTCAGGATCCCATTGGCCTTCTTGGCCATGAGGGCACATTGCTGCCTCATGGTTAACTTGCTGTCAGTCAGGACTCCCAAATCCCTCTCTGAGGAGCTGCTTTCCAGCAGGTCAACCCCTGATCTGTCCTGGTGCCTGGGGTTATTCCTGTCCAGGTGCAGGACCCTTCACTTGTCCTTGTTGAACCTCATGTGGTTTCTCTCTGCCCAACACTCGTGCCCTCGTCCAAGTCATTGATGAACAAGCTGAACAGTACTGGGCCCAGTACTGACCCTTGAGGGACACCACTGGCCACAGACCTCCAACTAGACTCGTCCTCATTTATCACCAGCCCCTGGCGCGAGATGGTGTCAAAAGCCTTGCTGAAGTCAAGGTAGACAACATCCATGGCTCTCCCATTGTCCATCCAGCCGGTCACCAAATCGTAGAAGGCTATCAAGTTCGTCAAACACGACTTTTCCTTGGTGAATCCATGCTGACTACTGCTGATCACCTTCTTTTCCTTCACGTACCTAGAGATGGTCTCTAGGATGAGCTGCTCCATCACCTTTCCAGGGACGGTGGTGAGGGGGACCAGCCTGTAGTTTCCCGGCTCCTCCCTCTTGCCTTTTTTGAAGACTGGAGTGATGCTGGTTTCTTCCCGTCCTCAGGCACCTCCCCCGTCCTCCATGACCTCCCTCGATGACGGAGAGCGGCCGAGCAATGACCCCTGCCAGGTCCCTCAGCACTCGTGGGTGCATCCCATCCGGGCCCATAATTTATGGGTGTTCAGTTTGCCTAAATAATCCCCAACCTTATCCTCCTCAACCAGCGAAAACTCCTCCTCTCTCCTGGTTCTCTCTTGTCTCTGGTCTCTGTAGTTGCATCACCAATTAGCAGTAAAGACAGAAGCAAAGAAGGCATTTAGTAACTTTGCCTTCTCTACATCCTCTGTTCACCAAAGCACCCACCCCGTTCAACAACGAGCCCATGTTTTCCCTAGTCATCATTTTGCTGCTGATGTAGAAGCCCTTCCTCTTGTCCTGACATCTCCTGCTAAATTTAATTCTGTAACAGGCCTTGGCCTTCCGCGTTGCATCCCTGCAGTCTCTGGTAGCGTTCGTATATTCCTCCCAAATGGTCTGTCCACATTTTCCACATTATGCTTTCTTCTTATGTTTTCCCAAGGGCTCCTTGCTCATCCACACAGGTTTACTGCCTCACTTGCTTGACTCTCTTCTTGTAGGGATGCACCGATCCTGAGCTTGAATATTAGTCAGCTCTCCTGGACCCTCTTTCCTTCTAGGGCCCTAGCCCAGGGACTGATCCAAGTAGGTCCCTGAAGAGGTCAAAGTTAGCTCTCTTGAAGTCTAGAGGTCTATTTTTATTGTCCTTTCTATTCTGAACATTTGAATACATGGATAGAGATGAATGGTTGTTGATGTCTGAAATTATATTTTTAGTATGAATTGATCCACTGTTTACTTTTTCTATTTTTTTGTTTGTTTTTGTTTTCAGGCAATTGCATTGCCTCCTATTGCTAAGTGGCCTTATCAAAATGGATTTACTCTTAACACCTGGTTTCGTATGGATCCATTAAATAATATCAATGTAGATAAAGATAAACCCTATCTCTATTGGTAAGTAACTCATAACTTACTTGTATGATTTCTTTTCGTTTCTTAATAATAGTTAAACTTTTCTACCTTTTTTATTTATTTATTTTTTGACATGCTTTTTCCCCAGTATCTGTGGAGTTTAACAGTTGCTTACTCTATATAAACTGGTTTTAAAACTATTTTTTAAAGGAATGTTTTAAAAATATTTTATTTCTTAGAGCTAAAGCTTAAGAATGTAGCTTGGTGTTGTCATATATTCTGTTTGATATTTGGCATTCTGGGCTGATACCAGTGCTATGATAGAAATCACTATACTCAAACTACGCTGATAGCAAATTTACTAGACATAATTGAAAGTAGATCTGAAAATATAAAATGGCTTTCCCACCATTTCGCTGCTCAACACTCTGATTTCTAATAAGTTGCCAACAATGGATGTTAAAAGCAAGAAATATGTTTTTAGTTTACTTAGTTTTGCTGTTCTAACAAGAAAAAATAGTTCGATAAACTTGTGATATTTTAGAAATTATGGTATAACAGTTCTTGATGACTCATGAAAATAACAGTATTTTTCACTTCAAAAATTAATCATGTATCTACACAAATACGGTTGTCTGTAGGCAGAACTGTTTCTGCTTCTCTAATCTGTATTTATTTGCTATTTAATATGCCTACCTTTTCTCATACTCTTAAAAGCTGCATATATGAAGTTGTGCAGATAGATAAGGATGGGAATCTACCAAGGTTTATCAGTTCAGGGAAAACGAGGAGAACAGCTGCTGGGAGGAACAGTGAAAGGTAGCGTTTTCCACTTTGTAGTCCTTCCAGGTAGGCGAGAAACTGAAAGTCTGCAGTAGTCTGCTGAGGAGGAAACCAAGGGATGATGTGGTCTTAGAATGTGTTTTTCTTTTACTGTGAATATATATTTTCATTCAGTGGAAAAAACATAATCATTTGCATTTTTACAGAGCAAATATCTGATTAAAAATAATATCTCATGTGTATTCTAAAGAAAAAAAATGATAGTTTTTCCCTAAATTGCTTTCTGAAATGATGCGTTTTCATGCATCTCTTTTCTGCTAAGTGTTTCCCGTTGTTTTACTGTGGTGATTTTTCCTAAGTCATCAGCCTCAGCTAAAGATTATTAGTATGATCTTTATATTATTTATTTTCTCAGGCTGACAAGGACAAGCATAAACATAATTGCAGGAGTGAGGAGCCGTACAGAATTTTAGGATGATACTGTGTTTCTCAGTCAGGATCTGCATTTGAGAATTGGCACATTGAGGTCACGTATTTGGTTAGAGGCTTCCTTGTTGCTTCAAAATGGGAAAAGGTTACTGCACTCCTGTGCAGTGTGTTGCTTTTCTTAGGGATATCAGTGTAGAAAAACATTTAACCTGAATGGTAAATGTGATACCTTTTCATGCCAGTACAGGGCACAAGGAGCATTGGCATTAGGTTTGAATAACATCAGATGTTTGATATTTGTGTTTTTGCTGTAATATAGCTCTGATACTTACGATGACAGATTTTATTCAATTTAGTGTTTTTGAGTACACCATTTAGGGTATTTCTTACACTGAAGTAAGTTTAAAACATCTGTACGTTAAGCTTTCATGAATATTTTGGCCTACTTCATATTTTATCAGAGGAGAATTTATTCCTAGTTTGATTTGTTCAAAGATATGAATTTAGGCATTCAAAAGCCATCTGGACTTGGTCCTAGGGAGCCTGCTCTAGGTGACCTGCTGGGGCAGAAGGGTTGGACTGGGTAATCTGCAGAGGTGCCTGCCCACCTTAATCATTCTGTGAAAAACAGCATATATTCAGTTCACTGCAAAGTGTTACATCAAATAACTGTAAGCTATTCTCAAACGTCTGTCCATTAAAGAGATCTATTTACAGTATTTTTAAATGTCTCAATGAATAAAACCCACAAAGCTGTTCTCTGAATTATCAAAGACTATCTGAATTTCATCCTTCAAAACACAGTTTTAGTTCTAACTTCAAAAAATTACTAAAGAGTAGTTTTTAATAATGTACATCTTACCAGCAACAACTATAACACTTCTATATTTGCTTGAAAATTTCTTGTTGCAATATGGATTACCTGTAGTAACTCACTAGAATATTGTTAGATTTATTAATGAAGCATCTAGCTGGACAATAAAACATTTTTTTTTCTACTAGCTTATCTTTCTCCCTGTTTGAGAGTTGTTTTTTGTTTTAATGAAAATATTCAAGAGCCTGTCAAAATAACGTCATCTATATTTTGTTGTTGGAGTCTGGAGTCCAAGGGCATAAACAAACCTAACTCCACTACATAAGGAGCTTCTGCTTCCTCATTGTAGCATTTAAAAGTTAACCTCTGACTAAATGCATGCATTTTGCTACATCTGCACCCTTTTTCAATGATTTTGGAGCAGGCCTGTGCTAAATGAATGAGATTCTAAATAGAGCTCCTTTCTGGAATTGCCTCTAATTACCTGTACTTGTCAGAACTCTGTTGCAGAGAACCATCGTGAAGACTCAGAATGGCTTTATATATTTTAGAAATAGAGCATAATTGGATTTGGTCTTCCTATCTAGCTTAATTCATTATTTAAGTACATAGCCCCGACCTATTTAATTTGTTGTTATTACTCAGACCTCTTTTGCTCTGCCTTTTGTCAGGCTTGCAAGAGTAGAAGAATGTCCTTTAATACTGGAAAAAAAAAAGAAAGAAAAAAGAAAAAGGAAATCAGGGAAAACTTGTTTGCTTTGAATTTTTCATATTGGAAGATTTTCTTATAAAAGAAAATAATGTACTACTTCTCTCTTCCTCTTATTTCTTCTCTTTCCCACTTTCCCTTCTCTCTTCTTACACTCATTCACTCATTCACTCTTTCACTCTTGCACGTCTTTGTACTCATAATTTAGTATCTTGCTTTCTCATGATACCTCTTGTTATGGTGTGTATATATATAAAAAGATATGATTTATCAGGTGTGGGAAAGAAAACTTGTGTGACTTTCAAGCTCAAATTTGACAAGTGCTGCATTAGAGCCAAAAAGAAAATGGGTTCATGTAAGTGTATTATATAAGAGGGAACCTGAATACGCCAACTTCAGGAGGAAATTGAAAGCAGTACAAAAACTTGCCATTTTTAAATAGTGGTATAAGCTAAGCAGTAAAAATGACTAAAAAAAGAGGAGAAATATTTGAACTAGATCATCCATCTAAACTTCTTTAGACTTTTAGATTTTGTCCCGTGATGGGTAGTGTCACAGAGACTATCACTGTCTGCTCTCCTGAAATCCAGGGTTGTGATTCTCCTTTGGCCTTGCTTCCTGCTTTAACGATACTGAATTGCACAATCTCATGGTCGCTGCAGCCAGGGCTTCCCCGACCTTCACATGCCCGACCCATTGCTCTTTTTTGGGAGTATGAGGTCCAGCAGAGCCCTTCCTTTGCCGGCTCCTCGTGACCTGTGTCAGGAAGGTGCCGTCAGTGCTTTCCTGGATTTCTTGTGCCTTGCTCTGTTGTCCTTTCTGCAGATATCGGAGTGGCTAAAGTCTCCCATGAAGATGAGCGCCTTCAAATGTAAAGTATCTTCCAGTTTGTTGAAGAAGGCCTCATCCACTGCTTTTTTTGCTGATCACTTAGTCTATAGCAGACGCCAACTACAGTGTCGCCCGTGCAGGTCTGCCAGTGGTCATACCAGCAGCTCTCAGCTGGCACATCATCTTTCCTATGCCAAAGATCCATATGCTGCTGCTGTTGTCTCACATAAGGAGCAAATTCTCTTTGGTGTCATTCATACCAAAGACTCTGGTCATTCATACAGAGGCAGCCTGCATGCATTGCAGCCCTGTTCCTGATGGATCAGTGAGGGTCCTGCATCTCTATGCAGACCTCTGACTACTCTCACATGTTCCCCATGCCGCACGCAGGAGTATGCAGGGCCTTCCATTAGATGTATCGTTGTGTTCATTTCCCAGAAAAAGCATGCGAGTTTCTCTGCAGTGCTGTCCCCTTAACATGTCCTTATTTGTCTGCAAGTGCTTGAGCTCCCCTTGATCCCAATTTTCATCACTTTCAGTGGCATTGCCTTGTTAGGGTATCCACAACGCTAGCTAGTCAGCAATCAGTTGGGCCTTCATTTGAAGAATATCTTCAGAGTTAAAACTTGCAGTGGCATGAAAGCATTTTTTTTCCTCTGGCTTTCTCACAACTCCAAAAAATTCTGTAATAAATCCACAGAATGTATAATGCATGGAAATGACTTAGAGTTCAACATAGCAGGAATTCAGGGCATAATTTCTTGAGGTGCTAACTTACGAGCTTCCTGACCTTGTTTCCATGCATTTGCCTGCGGCTCTTGGATTTAACCACACCTCTAGTTACACTAGTGAAAAATACTGTAGGGCTGCATTTTAAAGGAGACTTTGGCATGATTCAGACTTTAGATTTGCAGAAAGAAGTGCCCAGAGCAGAAATGTCCAAATATTGCAAATACAGTAGCAAATACTGGTGGCAGGGTGTTGTCACATCAGCTTGATGGTTGTGTGGAACCTTATGCTTAGAAATGGAGAAAGGAAGTGAAGGGAATTCCTCTACATAGGAATTACAGGGTAAAACTTAGGCCGTAGTGTCATAGTTGCTTCTTTTTGTCGTTAAAGTATCCAAATGCTTCCACATTGAGGTTAATGGTAAATGGCAACCTTTGAGATTAATGGTAAAACTTCTGAAAAACATTTTAATTTTTATAGATGCAAGTACAGGAAAAATGGTACTGAAGAAAGTCTTCTAGACTGTTCATTCCCTCTCTGGAGCGAGTAATAATAGAGATAATGGAAAACAGTTGCAAAAACAATGTAATGGAGCTCCAAAATTAGTAGGAAAGAAACCCTTTTTTTACCCAAACAAGAATTAATGTACCAATAATCTCACTATTTTGCTCATATCTTAAGTTGTTTATGATGTACAGAGTTAAATAAACTGAAATTATTCAGCAGTGGGTGCAAGAAGGCTTACTTGCTTTTGAAGTGTTGTAATGAGAAATTGGCTTAAACTGAACTGATAATAAAGCAGTTGTATGAGCTGTACCAAAATCATACAGCAGCTGTTACAGCAGGTAGTTAAAGGCTCTGAAATCTGCATGGGTCCCGCTGCTTCCCTTGTCTGTTGTAGAGGTTTCATCATTGTACGCAGCGAGTCCTGCACGTGCGGGCAGAGAGTGCAGTGTCTTAGAGAAGAGCCCGAGCCGACCTCACACGGGCAAGAAATAGTAACTGGAGATCAACGCAATCAGTGAATTATAGTGTTGAGGTGAACAGAGGACATGGTTCTGTTCTCAGTTTCTCAACTGATCTTACATTAGAATATTCATTAATACAGAGGGGAAAAAAAAGGGAAAATCTTGTTGGTTATTGGCTAGGCTTCATGGCAGAAAATTATTCTCTTCCATGCAGAAGATAAAAAGAGCTGTTCTGCTCAGAAATGAGCTGTGATGTCAGTATTCTGGTTCTTTATTGTCCTCAAATGCAAAACTCCTAGGATTTATAATGGAAGGATAATTCAATGTTTAAAATTACAGGAACAGTACAATTTAACCATAATGGTGACAAAATCACTTCAGTTACTGAGATAACTAAGAATAGGAAAACTTTTAAAAGTTATAGACAATTCTTCAAGAACCCAATTACTTATTTTAAGGTGCTTTTTTTTCCCTCAAAAGGCAGCAGTTTATCAGCTATTTTGTTGACAGTGAGAAACAGGCAAAGTCTTATTCTCTCTCATTAGGGTACATAGACGTTTAACTAAATGTTTTTGAAAATGAAATCAAGTCTATAGTTAAACTTTTTTATGCATATTAATATCTAGATTGTATTGTATAGTGGGGTAGATTAAAGAGGCAGAATTTCAGCAGCAGAGTGAGTTGAAATCTGAAAATATTTCCATGTGCCTCTCGCGAGGATAAATATATGTGTTCAAAATTAGTCGTGTCTGTGTTTTATACTTGAAAAATTTAATTACAGAATTTATAGGTGCAGTTTGCCATCATGATCCTACCAAAATCTTCACTTCTGAAAAAGAAATAATTGTCTGGTGCAGTGATTCCCTGCACGGAACTTGTGCATCAAAACAGCCACTTTCTTCTCCCAGCTCTGTAAAACTACAAGGCATTTTCCAAAATACAAACATGGCACTTGGTTCTGTGATGGATTTTTCTTTACCATTTAAAGCAGATTTACTGTTTTAAATAATGATGGGTTAAGAAACTAAGGGCAAACCCTGACAGATAGGAGTTTTGCCCTCTTGGAATTCTGAGAATTGAAGTAAAACCCTCATATTTCTAGAATGTAGCCTGGAGTTAATGATGGTTAGCAGCCTTGAAAAGGGCACTCAAAGAGAAATGATAGAGAAAGAGTGAAAAATCACTATGATCTATATGGGGAATTATGTTCACTGTCCAGATACTAATTTCTTTCCTTTCTAATGGCAATTTAAAATAGTATTTGAACCTCATTTTATTAATCCATTTTTTACAGTTTTTACAGTTTCATTAATATCTCTTTTCTTTCAGTTTCCGCACTAGCAAAGGTGTTGGGTATTCTGCTCATTTTGTTGGCAACTGCTTAATAGTTACGTCGTTGAAGTCAAAAGGCAAAGGTTTCCAGCACTGTGTGAAGTATGACTTTCAGCCTCGCAAGGTAAGCAAAGCAGTATTTGCAGTAAAGAATGACATTGCAAATGTGTCCTTCTGGAAGGAAGAAGTAAAATTCCTTTTGTGATGTAAATGATTAATAATCTATAATTTCTTATTTATAAGTAGTTTATCTAACTGTCATGCATATGTCAAGCGAAAGTCAGGTTAAGATAACTACAATAATTATAAAGTAACACTTCTATAAAGTCACCTTAAAACTACCTATTTAGCTTTAGATGCTAAGGAATTTAAATATTTTTAAAATGGTTGCGTTTTATTTACGAAAGTTTTGACCATGATAGAAGTCATTCTGTTCTTTAATGTTCTGTACTTGATGAGTTTGGTGCCAGTGCCTGGGATGACCCTTTTGGTGGTGACTGAAGCTCTTTAGCTGGAGTTGACGTTCATCCCTGCCACGTGCCGACTGCTCCTAGCAGAGCAGCGGTTCTTGTGGCTTCCAGCTCCCAGGGAGGTGGCTTAAGGGCTGGCTTTTGCTTGGAGCATTACATATTTGTCATTGATAGCAGTCCAGTATGTATTTTTCTGTGAAACTCATTAACTTTTTAGTGGCTTGAAATTTTGTGTTGAACTTCAGTGCTTTGGTTTGGAGAAAGCAGTTTTAGGGAAGAAATACCATTCTTCATTCATCATTATTGCGCTTTTCTATTTTACTTGGTTCAAAATTCTGAATTAAAATCAGTGATTTTAATTCTACCTTTTTTTGAATAAGTAATTCATTTTTTGTGGCATATTTCTAAGAAATGTGTGTAGCTTTATAATCCCGTATCCGTTGAATGTTTTGACGTCAGTAGATTCTATTTTGTAAATTTGATTTAATTTTAAAAGCAGAAGAGAGTTTTGATGACAGTTCAGTTCTCTTTTGAAGTGCCGTATTTGATGTACTGATAAACACTCAACCCAGGAACAAATTAAGTTGTTAGCTTTAGATTATGCTGGTAATAACTCTGAACTCAGAATTCTGTGCTGAGAGTTAGCTGATCTTTTTTTTTTGTTGATACTGAAGCAGTCTTTCATATTCTAGTGAGATATTTTGATAATTTTTACTATGAATGACTGTAGTTTGCATTTGATACTGAGATTTCTTTATGCTATCACTAGAAAATTTTAGTTCTTTTATTTTAGTTCACTTTTTTTAGTTCAAAATTTTAGTTCACATTTCCTAGGAAATGTGTATCTCATTCTACGTGTGACAGCTTCAACTACAGTCCACTGATTTGCTGAAATTATATCCAATTACAACTCTGTGCTAGTTTCGTATTTCTCAGAGAATGTGCTCTTTGGGTCATTGCTCAGATTTTAGGAAGGATTTGTAATAACTCCTTTAGAATATATAATGCACAGTAGTTGTAAGGTAGTTCTAAAGGTAGTTCCTGTGATTTCATTAATAATTTGTGTGCATGTATGTGTGAACCTACATGAAGTATAATGGAGAAAGGAAAGCTTGTCGGATAGAGTTGTGGTCTCTCAACATGTCAGAACATATCCTTTTTAAAGGATGCATTGCTTTTCATCCTGATGCTTGGGATTTACCTTGGTGCCATTGTTCACACATTGAATATATAGGTATGTATGCAAAGATGTAGCCGTTTACAAAGCATCTCACTATCCATCTACAGTTCAGATTTACGAGGTGTTTTGGTTGTTAAACAGACGTATTGTTTTTCTGACCATTCGCTTACAGACGTAGACGTTTCCACGATAGGCCTGGCCAGAAACATTATCTTCATTAATCATCTGAGTAACGATGATTTTAGTTTTTGTTGAGTCACACTCAATGGATATATTCCATGCACCTAGTCAGACAGCTTTATGGAGGCAGGTCAGAAAAATATTCGGTTTGTGTGAACATCTTCTAACTTTTAACTCTCTCATTTGGCACCACTGGCAGAGCAGTATGTATTCCTAATATATGCTTAAGCTACATACTAAGAGATGACCTTACGTTTTAGTGACTGTAATTTAACAGCATCATAAAACGGAGGCAGTAAGTGGCACATATAGTTAAGAGTGAAGAGACAAGGACATCTTACCACTGGAGAAGTGATACCTTGTGTTAAAAAAAGACTTCATCTAATCAGATAGGTAATTTTCTGCAACAATAAATAACAGAATTTCCACATAGGAAGAGAAAACTATTTGAATGTAATTCAAGCATGCAATGAGGATAGTTAGTGTTTTCTATGTCCTGGAGAAAATTAGCCGAAAAATTGGAAAGCACAGTGATAAAGAACAGCTTGCATTACTTTGATATAATTTATGTAGCATGAAGGTTCAAACTCTTAGAAACATTTGTGGTCTTTCTTTTCTGTTGGAAGCTGTTTGAGACCTCGAAATGGCTAACTCTTGCTTGACTTGAACAAGCTTGGATTTGCAGGATATTTTTAATGCAATTGCAAAATAAAATAAAATAAAAAGGTAGGATAACTTCCTAAAAATGAAAAAATCTTAAAGGTGAAGGTGTTGGATAATGGTATTGATATTGATTAAAGGTAAAAGTGTAAAACGCTAAGAGTAAATAGACCTCTTGGGCAAAATTAAAAAAAATGTGTATCTGAGCATAGGGAAAAAGTAGAGACTATTCTAAGCAAAAAGAAGTCCTTCAAAAGTGAAAGTTGTATCAAAATGAAGAAAACCTTGAAACATGCAAAAAAGAAAATTATAGCAAATAATTCACTTCATAGGGGCAATTAGATGATTAAGGCTTAATAGGAACCCTTTAAGGATATAGCATCATAACAAAAAAATTTAATGAGTTACTTGCATCATTGTTTACTACAAGAAGAGACTAAATGTGAATGAGTCAGAGGAAATATCTCAGATTGAAACGTCAGTAGAAGAGGTATAGAAATCGATAAAAAAGATAGTAGTTGTCAGGACCGTACAGTAGTCAAACTCAAGTTCTAAAAAAAAAAAGAAAAAAAGAAAAAAAGAAAAAAAAAAAAGGAATATGAAAGGTTGATTGTTGTATTATATAAACTATTTTATTAAAGAAATGGCAGCTGGAAAATGGTACAAATTTGAGGAAGAAAAAAGCCTTCCTTGGTATTTAGAGGATTATGTAATGTTGTGTGTGATTTCTGAAATATGAAAAGCGGTGGCAACTATTAAAAAAATGGAAGAAGAGATTAGCAAATGCATAGATAAGGACAAAGTAATATACTGTTGTATGTGGCAGTTCTGTCTCCCAGTTCTGTTAAATTATTTGAAGAATTCTTACTGTGCTTGAGGACTGTGGTTGGGAAGAAGCATTTTAATCCTCTGAAAGCTTTTAAAGAAATTAAACCATCGTGAAATTAGAGAATTGATATTGGTTAAAAGAGACGGATAAGATGTTGTGCGTAAAATGAGCAGTACGTTTATTTATCTACTCCTGAGTAGGCAATACAGACTTTAACATAGGGGAGTGTCATTTTGTACTGTGGGAAATAAATCTGAGATAATAAAATATTGATCATTTTATCTGGGTATATCTTAGTCATGCTTATGACACAAGGCCTGCACAATTTTAATATTTTGACCCAATAAAAATAAGTATCATAGAATCATAGAATGCTTAAGGTTGAAAGGGACCTCTAGAGGTCACCTAGTCCAACCCCCCTGCACACGCAGGGACACCTAGAGCACGTGGCACAGGGCTGCGTCCAAGCGGGTTTGGGCAAGCTGTTCCAGGGCTCTGTCACCCTCACTGTTAAAACATTTTTCCTTAAGTTCCTGTGGAAGTTTTGGTGTTTCAGTTTGTGGCCATTACCTCTAGTTCTGTCGGTGGCCACCATATTTAGTGATTTCAAGTAAAATAGGACAAAGAATAGAATAATTGCCCACAAAGAGAAGGTTGGTGCTTTGGCAGAGCTTGCTGTGCAGGCCAGAGCAGCAGGGGTAGAGCCTCTACCAGAGGTTCTGGTAGAGGGGGGCAGATTGGGGCCAGAGCTGTGCTGGGGAGTCCATCCTGCGCCTGAAAGCCAGGAGACTTGGGCTCCTGATACACTGGGTATCGAGGTGGACCCACAGCTGTGTGCGCCGCGGTGCCGGTCGGCAGGAGACCGGGTGGTCTCTCCATAGACCCTGTCACTTTGCTGCAGTTGGACATGGACTCCAGTACTATCCACAGCAATACTTCTTGCTCTTTCTAGTTTCCTGTAGGATCTGCAGACAGGGCTGCAACAAAGGATTAATGAACTATTAATTTCCAAATGAAGGAGGTGTTTATTAAGCTCAAGCTGTATGCGGGGCAGGCTTGCTGAGTTCGGGTGTTGCCCTTAACGCGCTGTGAAAGAAAACTCACAGATAGAGGATAAATGGGTTAAGCTTGGGTCTTGTGGTTGTGAGCTTATTCCTGCTATACATTTCAATATCAGGACTGTACATAGTTATACAAAGTGCAGTGTTTCATAGTACCATTGCAATGAATACTAGCTGGTGGGATTAAAGCATTTGGAATTGTGTGCATTTAGTGGGGATTATTGTTAACATTAACCTTTGAAGGAAAGAGATGACAAGGGAATTTTTCTTCCACAAGATTCGTGTTAGGTAGTATGGAGGCTTCGAAAAGGAAGCGCTGATTGAAGCAGAGCTGTAGTTAAACGCCATGCACCGAGTTTCTGGTTAGCACAGATACCAGTTAAACTTCTAGACTGAGCTATGCATATACTGCTGAATTTGTAGCAGTTTCTTTCTCTAATAGAGAGAAGGTCTATCTAATAGAGAGAAGTGTCTATAAGATATGAAAGAAAAATCTGCTTTGGGTGCCTTTTTTTTTTTTTTTGGGCTCGCAAGAATACTTTGTTCATTGTTTCTGGAAAAAAAAAATTATAATGGCAACACATGACTTTGGAAGCCAAAGCAGTATGTCCTTAATCTAGTATTATCCAATAAGTCTGTTTACTTAGACACAGAAGAAATGAGATAGTCTTACATACTGTTGCCTGGCTGGCAGTTTTTGTTTTTGCTTTCTTTCTGGCAACTGTAACTTTTTGGAAGGGAAAGTAAATACATTTAAAGAAAATAAAACATAAATATGAAAGCAGTCTTTAGAAATGGATACGAGTTAATTGGGTGTGACTCAGTTTTAACTTGATGAGAGTCAGAAGAGATCTAACAAGATAGGCTTCAATTATAGTTTTGAGTACTTATTTCCCTTTTTATCAAAATAAAAAAATGCGTTATTTTACTGATTTTAATGTGAAAATTTGATATTTGAATTATGAAAAAATGAACAATGAAAGTGAGAACCTAGAGGGAATGATGGATTTATAAAGAGCATTTTTAATATATAGCATGCATGTATACAGCATTTTCTTTAGCATAATGCCAGCTATCAGCACACTCGCCCCCTCTGTAGTACTTAATCTGTTTCATGGCTCCCTTTGAGGCTGGAAATCAATGCGAGGGGGAATATTGAAGTCTGCCTGCAAATAGGATTGTTCAAGTTCTGTTCAGTTTTATCATCACATTTTTCAAGTGGCAAGGAAAAGCAAGGCTTTCAGTATGTAACTGATATTAAGTTTTTAAACATTTCTTTTTCTTGAAAAGTTTAATAGCTACTTTTATTGAAAAGGATGCACTTGTGGTTTGAACTTCGTTTTCAAGCATCAGTCTGTTTACTGCTTACACTGAAATATATCGAACTAGAAGAGACAGAAGTATTAATAAAATACCAAGGTGTCATATTTTCAAAATCCCTATATACATACATATATATATGTATGTATAAATATTAATGAGAAGCATTTTTTTGCATATACGTCTGTGTTTTATTTTTTTAAAAAAGGTCAAAACTGAAGAAGTTTAGTTTAATCATCTAAGTTATCTGAATAGACGATTGGCATTTGTAAAACCCTCTGTTATGTAATTATGATTGCATTCTTAATGATCAAAATGAGTGGTTAGGTCTGCATATTTAAATGCTGCTGAGCAGACTGTGCTACTTATCTTGCAAAGGTAAACATGGAGAAGCTGCCTACAGCATTTTCAACTGTATCTGTAATTACTGCATAGTGAGGAAAACAGATCAACAGGTGCAGGATATGAAACTTTTAATAAATCAAAGGGCAGAATGAGAAGGGAGACTTTGTACAATGCAGTCAGATGCTTCTTGTGAAAGTCCTAATTATATTCTGTGTGTAGCTTAAAAAAAAGAGAATTGTAGTAACCAATTCACTGCATGGTAAACGTAGTGCAAATACTACAGGTGATGGTATTACTGGTGTAATCAAGCAATCTCATCACTTCAACAGTGGCCTCTCCAATTTCCTGATAACTGTTCTATATTCTACAACATGTAATTGTAAAAACAGCCAAGATTAAGAAAATTTAAATAATTGAAGATACTAGTGATTTATGGAGACATTTCACATTTTAAAATGCACAATTTTCTCTGTTTTCTGTGTTGTCTCTATTTTCAGTTTCTGCAGGTTTTTTTTGAAAAAATTTAATGTGGTCTCTTACCACGGTAGAACAGGAGAGGTTACAAAGTGAAAACATCTCCTGTTCACTTTTTTTTTTTTCCCCCTCCCCTTTGTAATAACAACTCTCTAGATTTTCAAATCTGTTCTCAGGAGTTATAAATCCTCCTGAAATTTAACCATCTCGACTAATTGTAGGGAGCTGTGGAACACAGGTCCAGAGAGGTGCTTACATGTGGGATGTTGAAATGGTCTATATGAGGTAGTATAAAAATCACATAAGATCACAAAAATTAAAGCTGTTGTAGTTCAAACTAGTTGGCTCGTTGCATAAAGTGGTTAATTATGAGGAGCTGTATTGACTCGGAGTATCTGAAATGCTGCTTTCTAGGGTGGTAAGTTGGTTGGCAGTAAAGATCAAATAGATGAGAGGAGCAAACTGCTTCACTAGCTCAAGTTAAAACCTACTATTGCTTTTGAAGGCGTTTGTTAGCTCCTCCTCAGTCCTATGAGGAGGATGTGCACCTTACTTGTATGCAGATGTGTGACTAAGCATTCCTAGAGGTCACTAAGTTACGATCAAACAAGATAATTAAAATAATATCCCTAGGGACGCAGAAAGTCCCTCTCTCTCTCTTGAAAAAGGAGACTTGGCTAAACATAAAATCAGAGGCAAAAATTAAAGAACGTGCCAAAAAGGAAAAGACAAGTAACTAGTAAATTACTATATCCTCAGTCCTATGAGGAGGATGTGTACCTTACTTGTATGTGTGACTAAGCATTCCTAGAGGTCACTAAGTTACAATCAAACAAGATAATTAAAATAATATCCCTAGGGACGCAGAAAGTCCCTCTCTCTCTCTTGAAAAAGGAGACTTGGCTAAACATAAAATCAGAGGCAAAAATTAAAGAACGTGCCAAAAAGGAAAAGACAAGTAACTAGTAAATTACTATTCCAAATCACTAGTAAGATAGTTAATAGAATAACTGCACATTTATTCCTGGTAAATCCAGTGATAAAATTTACAAGACAGCTACTACTATAACTACAAAGGAAGGATAACACCAGTGTTTGCTGAGTTGTTGATTAAATAAATAAAATTTCCAATATGACTGGATATTTTGCAATACTCATACATTTTTGGAATTTCTAGCAGCTGAGTAATTGCTCTAAATGTAGATATTTTTGATAGTGATAAATCTGTAAAGCCGTTTTAAAGCTGCTCAAGTTAGAGCAGCTGGAGCAGGTTGCCCTGGACCGTGTCTGATCGGGTTTGAGTGTCTCCAAGAATGGAGACTCCACAGTCTCTCTGCCAACCTCTGCCAGGGTTTGATGCAACCTCACAGTTTAAAACAAAGAAACAAAAAGAAAACGTCAAAACATCAAACTAGAACACCATTTTCTTCTTCTTTTAAGTGGAATTTCCTGTATTTCAATTTGTGTCCTTGTCTGTGGGCACTGCTGAGAAGTCTGGCTCAGTCTTCTTCACAGTCTCCCTCAGCAGGTTTTCATACCCATTGGCAGGACCCTTCCCTGAGCGTCCTCGTGTGCGGCCCCAGCCCTGCCAGCCCTTCCTCACGTGGCAGATGTGCCCGTCCCTTGGTCACCGCACGGCTCCCGGCCGGGCTGGCTGCGCTGTGGCCGCGGCCTTCTGCTTTGTGTCCGTCTCGAAACCACACGGACACCCGCTGCAGCTACCCGTGAGCTGCACTGCAGATCACAGCTTGAAGCTCCATTCCCAGGGTGTCGTCTTAAATTAAAGTTTGGATTTTAATGGAAACTTAAGGTTTTTTTTCTTCTTCTTGTTCATCAGAGAAATAATGATTTGTTTCAAAGATGCCATAGTAGGCGTTTTGCTGTCATGGTTTCCTGATTGGATTATATACTACTTTTTAAATGATACAGCAGTTGTCCAAAATCGGTGGAGTGATAAAGAACAGAAAGAAAATCATATAACGTAATCCGCACTGTCTCCTCCTAAGCTAGGCTGTAAGATTTGTTGTTATGAATTTTTCTTTATTTAATAATTTCAAGCCAGAAAGCTATGATAGGCAGATAGAAAGTGTTGAGGTAAGTGAGCACAGAAGTGGGTTGCAGACCTCGGCTGTGTGTTTATGTTACAGTGTACAGTTTCTAAACAGTTTCTAACAGTTTCTAAATTGTGCTTTCAGGAATGGAAGTGTTTCGTATTTTCTAACTGTATGCATACATCTTTGGCTCTAACCCATAAAGGGACTGAGGCAGGTACACTGTTATGTTTAGGTGCAATTCTGCTGAATGGACTTGAAATGCTACTCTGTAAATTATAATTTTAGAGGGTTGTAAGGATTCATCCATTCATATATCTTTACAAGATTTGTCATTTATTTTAATGCCAAACATTATGTTTCTTATAGCATAAGGACTGCTACTATATCCTAATTTTCCATTTCTTTTCAGTGGTACATGATAAGTATTGTGCACATCTATAACCGCTGGAGAAACAGTGAAATACGGTGTTATGTGAACGGTCAGCTGGTATCCTATGGTGACATGGCCTGGCATGTTAACACAAATGATGTAAGATTTTGTTTTGTTCCTTTTTCGTAGCTTTTCAGCACAAAAAAAAAAAAAGTTTTAAAAAAAAAATTGAAAAAGACATTTAAAAAGTTTCTGTATTTATTTTCTGTATATCTTTGCATTTTTTTCTGAACTTTATTTGGTCTATTCTTTAATCCGTCTTCATTTACTAAAAGATTATCCACTTTTTTCTGTGGATTATAATAGGTTTTTATGTATTTTGAATAGTTGCTCTAATGAAATTTGCGGAGTTTTAATTTGTAGAGACCAATAGTTAGTAGTTTGAATATGTCATATGAAATCATATAAATGCTTCAAAATGTTTTTCTGTATCCTTGTCTTACCTTCTGCTTTGGAAGAGCTGAGAGGTATACGCTTCATGAAGTAGAAAACAGACTCTCTTTTTTCTTGCCCAAAAGTTTGGATGGGGGAAGCAAATACAATAATTACACAGCAATTACAATAAATACACAATACAATAATCTCACGTTCTTTGCCCTCATATACACCATATAAACTTCCTGAGAGAGCTCCTACTTACAAGAAAAGGCCACCCTCTCGGTTTTCACAGGACATGGTTTCTTCTTGGTAGTCTAAACTGTTTCTGATAGGTGAGAATGTGATGATTCAAAAGTCAGCTGAGACCTCAGAAAATCTGTCCTAAGTTACTAATTATTTTTCAGGGAAGTCTGCCCTCCATAACAACAAATGCTTATCATATGAGATCAGGGTAAGGTTCTATTAAATAAGTCCTCCAATTTTACCAGTTCGGTACATCTAAGTTTCACACCAGGTTGCTTGAATTTTTATAAGTTTTACACACAAAATTTCATTTTGGGCAGAAAAAAATGCATCTTACGTATAAAGCCGGGAGTTTATTCTTAGTCTACGTAAAGCCTTAACAATATGATGGAAAAAGTATGATTAGTCTGGTATTATTACAATAATACCAGCATTTATAGTTCAAAGCATAAGCAGTTAAAGCTGTATGCACAAAATGCATGGGATCTACCTCTCTCTCTGATGGCTTGCTCATTCTCCATTTCCTCTCTGAGGCCTGAGGTTGGTGGCTGCAAACTGGGGGCTGGTGGGCACAGTGATTCGCCAGCAAGCTAAGGGAGGAGGAGGAGGATGTTGGTTTCTTTGTCTTCATGCCTGGATCCTCCTGGGGTCATCTTTGCACGTACACTAACATGCTTTTAAATTTGGCTTTCTGCAATTTTATCCAAATTTACTATATACGGTGTGTTTTGCGTATGTTGGATGCCTGCTCTTTTATTCTTTTTTTTTTGATGTCCAAAGATGGTTTTACCCAGTTTCCAAGGTTGGATTTCTTAAAATGATCACCAGTTGGCCCAGTAATCTTCCCATATCTCTACTCCTCTACGATATATCCTGTGCCTGCCCTTTAAAGACTTCTGCTGTCACACTAGGCCTGTATTTCTCTACACTGCATCACGTGCTGTAGATGCCCATGTAGAATAGCTGCTTGTTACTACCATCCCTACAAAAATTATACTATACAATTATACAAAACTAAGCAAAAGTAGAAGAAATTAGGCCATAGTAATGGGGAAATGGCTGCTACAGCTAAAGAAGCTAACGCAAAGCTCCAGGCAGACCCAGACAAGTCCAGACACTAATCTGTGACAAGTTCTCAGATCTGTGTTGTTAAGAGTTTCTGGTGATGGCAACACTGCATTCACTGGCATGGGAGACTACAGGTAGTTGTAAGCTCTTGCTCAAGTTTATCTGTCTGTTTATCTAAATGCCTGATTCTTTCTCACAAAGGTAAAAGTCACAGAGTTGTGAGTGTACCTCAGGTTTAAAGATATGCCTAAAATTAATGCTTTTTGCTTCCTTTATAAGTGAAAATTTCTTTATTGGTGGATCCTGAGGAATTTATCGTAGCCCTCACAGATCTCATATTTAAAAACAAGGATGGTGGTGAAGAAGACCCGTTTTAAGTGTTGTCTTCATTTGGAGTCATGTGGACGTTAAGCTGCTCTTAGCAGGAATAGCCAATTTATTCCTTTTTTCTTAACAGTATTCTTTGCTACTCACAGAAAATACAGTCTTTTCTTAAACCATGCTTGGTTTAGCAAGCTTTAGTTATTTTAAGTTTCTCATGAATTTTTACTTTCTTATATCTGCTGTTTGACAGACTTTAACTTATGAAAAATATCAGGTATCAGTAGTTCTTAATAATTTTTTATAATAAAAATCTATTGGATCAGAAGTAGGAAATAGAACAGAAACTGCACCTGTGCCTCCCCAGGTGCAGGACTTCTCATTTCCCCACCGAGAACTGGCAATATCTCAATCCATGTTTTTTGTACCTTGGAAGACACTGAAGTAAAGATGACAAATTTCTATCTCTTTGGACAGGAATCCCTATTTCCTAAATTTTTCCTGGACTGGTAGCAGTTAACCGTTTTGACTCCATTCTCTTGACTGAAACATTTGTTTGGGTGAATCTGAATAGCTGAGAGAAATGAAAAAGCAGATTTCCTAGAGGCTGCTGGTTTGCTGACTCTTTCAAAAAATGAGACTGTGTTCCATTTTTGTGTTAAATAAAGTACATATGACACAAGGAAGCTGAGAGAGTAGCCTTGTGAATGGTTTAGTGCTACTAATGGAGCACTTCGTACTGCTTAATGCTCTGTAATTCACCAGACTTTTGTTCTGGACTGTTAAGGTCTAGACTTTCTTTCATCTGAAAGCTTTTTTTTTTTTTTTTAAGCACCAGAAGAAAACCTTCTTCTTTCTTTTTTCTTAATCTATTCTGAAAGAAGAGCACCACTTCACGTAGTGAGTAATAGGAAATGCAAAAATAGAGAATACAGGAGACCTTTTTGCATCTGGAGGAACAGTCGTGGGAAGGAGGAATGGAAAATAAGGAAAATAAATCTTTCAGCTGTGGAAAAAGTCAGAAAGGAAGTTTAAGGTCAAACAAAATCATGATGGGCAGTTGTCATGGAAGAAGATTCTGCACAATTTGGAAACTAGAGAGAACCATACTTGTGTTTCTGCTACAGATGTATCATGTGATTTTGGATAATGATTTCAGATATGAACCAGCTCTGCGCTGTTTGTTAGCACAACAAGGAGGGAATAATGTATTTGAACATGTTCTTTGTTAACTTTCAAAATACACAACTACTTGTATAGCAGTGATAGTTCTGATTATAAGGAAGCAACTTCCAGGCTTTCATATTTTCTAGAAGAAAATAGGGAAGGTTGTTTAATTTTCTCTATTATAGGTCAAAATTAATAAAAACAACTCCTACTAGTCAGTTATAACAGAATTGTGATGCTGAGCAAATATATACTCACATGCATATGTAAATAAGTGCTATTCAAAATGAAATTGTTCACTGCAGGTAATCAGGTACTGAAATTGGAAATGATTGATTTATTATCTTAATTACAGCCTTCCTTATATTTTGCCTTATTAGCTGTACCTACATATTATTTCACTGTATAGCTAAAGTTTATTAACATTGCTTTTTTTTTTTATGCAGAGCTATGATAAATGTTTTCTCGGCTCTTCGGAGACTGCTGATGCTAATCGAGTGTTTTGTGGCCAGCTGGGAGCAGTGTATGTATTCACTGAAGCACTCAACCCAGCACAGATTTTTGCAATACATCAGTTAGGACCTGGATATAAGGTAATAATGGATCTTAAAAGCATACCTTTGTGCAACTGGAAATGTCAGAAAGTAATTAGTAGCTGAGTTGAAAAGTTTGTGAGAAAGTAGATATTACATTAGAATATTAGAATTTCCGTCTACAGCTGTTTGATTTGTTTACAGCAAAGATTTGTTTTGTGTGATTTGTTTTCAGGACTTTTCAAGCATTGTAACTAATCTTAAATTCCACTAGTTTTGAAAGATGCAAGAAATTTCTTTAAAGCATAGTCAAAACATGCTTGTAGGTGAGTTTTGTGACATAATCAGATTAGGACAATTTTTTATTTGATGTACTGAAAACTGGAGAAACTTACCCCTCTTGCCCTGTTTTGTGTTTAAAACTTGAGGTAGAATAAAGCTGAACAAAGAATAATAAACTTATAAAAATTCTAATGAATTGCACAGTTTTGAACCGTTTTACTGAAATACCAGTTGAGCTTTTTACTTTGCCAGTGATGCTTCAGGGACTGTTTGGACAAATAGATGGTACGTGCATAAATGTGGATCTTTAATAAAAACGGTCTCAGTTATTTTGGATATGCCTGCCTGTAGTATTTCATCAAGAAAATCAAAGCAGATGTTTTGCTGAAGTCTGCGGAAACTGCCCAAGAGAGAAGACTTGAAAATGAATGGGCAAATCTAACATCTGCTACAGACTACTGAATTTCTGCTAACAGTAACTCTCAAGTTTTCTTTTGCCAATTTATGAAATTTGCAGTATCAGTTGAAAAAGACTTTGGAATTCTTGATATGTACTGCATGCTTCAGCTCAAAAAAAATTAACAAGTCAAATAATATTAATTTGATGTAATTAATTGTAAAAACAGCTGACACTTGAACGATATGCGAGCTGAAAATATCCTTTACTCTGTGTATGTAATGTGAATAGGTAAGTATACTGTTGTGGCCCAGGGAGCTGCTCTTTTGTTTTCCATATCTCTGTAAGGAGTGCCCACCTAAATCTTTAAGTAGGGTGTTTAAGCAGAGTATTCAAAGATAGAAGTCAAATAGAAGATTAGCAATTAAATCTTGGCTCTTTTCTGATCCTGGGAACCCCGTGATGGCTCAGCATCGGACAAACCTTTCCCTGAGGACGTGACACTGTGCAGATCCTGTCTGGGGAAGGGTTTGCTAGCACTTTGGTCTTTGGAGCTCTCGATAGGGTATTGCTAGGACAAGTCTGTTCATCCTTCAGGCTGGCAAGCAAAAGGACATTTACATGAGCATGTGCTAATTCACTTTTGGACAGAGACGAGAACTTCACAGATGTCATAAACACCGAGTGGAAGCTGCCTACAGGCTCCTCCATTGCAATTGGCCATCGAAGTTTCTCCCATGGCCAGGGGCTATATGTAGTGTCTACCCAGGTTAGCTGTAATGTGGATCACAGGCTCTTTAAGCACAATAGTCCTGGGATTAGGATTGCTGGCTTGGAGAAGAGGAAATCGATTGCATATTGTTGATGGTTAAACTCTTTACTGGAATTAAAAATACGCAAAGTTATTCAAGAGACACACCTGTGCAAATGAGGAACACTTTATTCTGGACTTAATATTGTATTTTGTTTGGACGAAGACTTTTGCAAATTTTTTTTTTGTCATACAAAAGCGAGTTAAAGTATTCTTATGCTTCTTAATAATAAATGTAAATAAATCCTTGTGAATTCAGTGATTTGTGGCAGCATCCTGAAGTGATATCAAGCCCAGATAAGGGAACAGTTTTGTTTCAGGAAGTGAAATTTATTATGGAATGTTTGTTGAGAGCCTAAGGGCAGTGCGTGGGCTGCATGGACGATAACTTCCCGTCACAGCTAGTAAGTGAGCCTGTGAGTGGAGGAGGCCTGCTGGGCCTGCGCTTCGTGCACAGAGAAGGGCGGCTGGGAGATGTGGTGGTCAGAGGCCATCTGGGGACAGTGACCATGTAATGATATGGTTTGCAAATCTCGATGAATCAAGAGGGGCGTTGACAAAACGACTACGTTGAACTTCCAGAGGGCAGACTTTGCACTGTTTAAGATGTTGGTTGGGAGAGTTCCTTGGGAGACAGTCCTGAAGAGCAGAGGCTGGATTTTCCTCCAGAAGGAAATCTTAAAGGTGCAGGAGCAGGCTGTCCCAATGTGCCAAAAGACAAGCCAGAGGGAAAGAAGACCGGCCTGTCTGAACAGAGGCTCTGTGAAAAGAGTTTACCACATTTGGAAGAAGGGGCAGGTAGTGGAAAGGGTACAAGTAGGTCACTAGGGTAGGAAGGGACGAAATTAGAAAGGTGAAAGCTCGGTTGGAATTCAGTCTGGCCACTGCTGTAAAAGACAACAAAAATGTTTCTACAAATACATTAACAAGAAGAGGAGGGCCAAGGAGGATCTCCTTGCTTTACTGGATGTGATGGGGAATATTGTCACCAAGGATGAGGATAAGGCTGAGGTACTCTATGCCCTCTTTACCTTAGTCTTTAACACTGAGATCAGTTATCCTCAAGGTAGAAGACACCTATAGAGTGCAGAATAAACCCCCCATGATCCAGGAGGAAACAGTCAGTGACCTGTTACTCTGCTTGGACACCCACAAGTCTATGGGGCCAGGTGGGATCCACCCAAGGGTTCTGAGGGAGCTGGCATAAGTGCTTGCCAAGCTGTTCATCATCTATCAACAGTCCTGGTCAACTGGGGAGGTCTCAGACCTCTGGAGACTGGCCAGTGAGACACCCAGCTACAAGAAGGGTTGGATGGAGGATCTGAAAGCTGAGGGAGCTGGGATTACTTAGTCTGGAGCAGAGGAGGCTCTAGGGAGACATTACTGCTCTCTACAACTGCCTGAAAGTCTGGGGGGCAAATGACAACCAGGGCATAAGACCCAGCCAACAAGAGTTCATGAAAGGCAGGTCCGGCCTCACAAACCTGATCTCTTTCTATGGCCAGGTGACTGCCTAGCGGATGAGGGAAAGGCTGTGGATGTGATCTGCTTAGACTTCAGTAAGGCTTTTGACACCGTCTCCCAATGCCTTCTCCTGGAGAAGCTGGCAGTTTGTGGCTCAGACAGGTGGACTCTTCACTGGGTGAAGAACTGACTGTATGGCCATGCCAAAGAGTTGTGGTGAATGGAGTTAAATTCAAGTGGTAATGATTCTATTCTGTCATTCTAAGTGATTCACACAGTACACGTTTTCATGCTAGGTGACATCTCCCTTAGTTACTACCATATCCTCATTAAAGTGTTGCCAAATTCTTACTGAATTTTCAAAATGTTAATTAGATGGAATTTAATACTTTGGGAACGTATTCTATTTTTAGGTGTAGAGTGAGTTAGAGCACAGTTAGTGTCCGATTCCTTCATGAAGTAGTTTCCTTCCTTGACTAAAAATCTGCAAATAGTTTGTATTAATAACAATAAAGATGTTCGTTAGTATCTTTGGTTCCCATTTCTCACTGCAGAAGCCTCTAGAGGCTAGTCAAAATATGTAGCTAATGTTTTACTATATAATTTTACAAGACAAATATTCATTAAAGAGTAATATACTTCCTGTCTGTCCAGTGCATTGATACACAGTTGCTCTATAAGGTGCATCTGCAGTCAGGTACAACATTTGTTAAAATCAGTCCTCACATCTGAATGACTTTAAAAACCTCATAATTACTTTAGCTTTAGTTTCATCTGAATTTAGCATTGGATACAGGAAGTTATTTGGACTATGCTCTTCCGCTACTATTTTCTGTCTAATTTATTAAGTTCTTACTGCAGAGGAGGCTCTAGGGAGACATTACTGCTCTCTACAACTGCCTGAAAGTAGGTTGTAGTGAGGCAGGGGTTGATCTGTTCTTCCAAATAACTACCTATAGGACAAGAAGAAATGGCCTCAAGTTGCACCAGAGGAGGTTCAGGTTATATATTAGGAAGAGTTTCTACATGGAAAGAGTAGTCAAGCATGGGAACAGGGTGCCCAGGGAAGTGGTGGAGTCACTTTGTGTGGCAGTGTTCAAGTGTGTAGATGAGGCGCTTAGGGACATGGTTTAGCAGACATGCTGTTGCAGAGTTTGTGACTGGACTCAATATTAAAGGTCTTTTCCAACCGTAATGATTCTATTCTGTCATTCTAAGTGATTCTCACAGTACACGTTTTCATGCTAGGTGACATCTCCCTTAGTTACTACCATATCCTCATTAAAGTGTTGCCAAATTCTTACTGAATTTTCAAAATGTTAATTAGATGGAATTTAATACTTTGGGAACGTATTCTATTTTTAGGTGTAGAGTGAGTTAGAGCACAGTTAGTGTCCGATTCCTTCATGAAGTAGTTTCCTTCCTTGACTAAAAATCTGCAAATAGTTTGTATTAATAACAATAAAGATGTTCGTTAGTATCTTTGGTTCCCATTTCTCACTGCAGAAGCCTCTAGAGGCTAGTCAAAATATGTAGCTAATGTTTTACTATATAATTTTACAAGACAAATATTCATTAAAGAGTAATATACTTCCTGTCTGTCCAGTGCATTGATACACAGTTGCTCTATAAGGTGCATCTGCAGTCAGGTACAACATTTGTTAAAATCAGTCCTCACATCTGAATGACTTTAAAAGCCTCATAATTACTTTAGCTTTAGTTTCATCTGAATTTAGCATTGGATACAGGAAGTTATTTGGACTATGCTCTTCCGCTACTATTTTCTGTCTAATTTATTAAGTTCTTACTGCAAAAGATTGCTTTGGAATGTGGTAGTGCATATAGTGAAATTGATCTTTAAGCTGTAAATATGAAATTTCTTAATTATATTAAGGAATATACCATATTAAATATGAAATTCTTTAATTACGATTATTAAATTCCTTGGGAGGAATTTTTAAATTGTTTTTAATTGTTAATTGTTTTTGAATAATTTGGGACAATTCCTTTTATAATTTTTAATGGTTACAAAAATTAAAACTGAAAATTTTTTGGGGGGATGCTGCCATCCTAGTGTAAAAGTTTAAGAGCTCTATCACACACTTC